TATATAGAAAGAGAGAGAGAGAGAGAGATAGAGTGTGTGTGTATCTTGAAAACCCTCTTCCCGACCACTTTTTTCGGGACGGAACGTTTTCCCCATAAGTCGAATATCATTGAAATACCTTTTCTGACGAGAATTCCTGCTCCCGATCAACGACCATCAATTCCTCTACAAAATCGTACATTTTCTCCTTTAAGGCAACCAATTTTATCGAAGTTTCGATAAATATTTTTCAGTGTCTTAAGTCGTTTACTGCTAATGGAACTCGCGGCTGTGGTGGCCACCGACGACAAGATCCATTTACGCTTTTTTTCACGCGGTAGGGGACACCGCCGCACAGTGTGTAATTTCAGGCATCTAGCTTGTAAAAAATCATTTTTCATCCCAGTTTCGATACTCTTTGTAGTCGCTCACACTATTCTCCAATAACTAGAGCACATCGCTTGTTTAATGTTTGGGATCGCATTAGTGCTGCTGAAACTCGTCGGTTGTTGGGGTCCGGAGTGGTCACTGCGCGCCATCAATAGGGGTTGGAGTGCGCCTTTTCAACACGTGTTCTCAGAGGGATACGCTGCAAGAGTATTCATGTCTTTGATGAACATCATAGTGGAAGGTACGCACTTCACTATGAAACTTTTGTTTTTCTTGTTCTGATTGTAGAACACATCATTAATCGCTTTTTAATATAAGAGAGTAACATTTCCAAAAAGTCTTTGACTTTGTTTTTGTCGAGATACATAAAAAAAGTTACACGGTGTTACAGTGGGAAACTGGCTCCTTTGTTTTGATTTAATATTATTTTACAAGATAGAGTTAGTCCTAACTGCCCGCAATTGTCCCAATCCCAGAAAATAATTTTTCAGGAACGATGCAGGCCATCCGAAGACGGGATTTGTTTGCCGAGGTTTTGCTAGTGCATCGCGAAATGAAGAAGTATATCGATTCATTGCCAAAAACTTTGTTTACAAAACTGCTAAGATGATATATCTAAGTTGGTTAAGACCACCATTTATGTAGTTTGTGCTCAAATAAGCTCTCGATGGGCGAAGTGCAAAAGAAGACTGGAACGTTTCCTGGAACTCTACTCATCCTGGCTGTGCAGCGATTCTGGACAGCAGAAGAAAGCAAAAACATATCTGAAAAAAATTGCGGTGCAGAGTGATGCCATAATTTAATCAAGTCTGCTTACAATCGGACAACTTTCTGAAGAAGCGCAAGAAACTTAAATAAAGTTAATAGACGTTACAGGGAAAATTTAAATAGAAAGTCATAAAGAATAAATTCAAATCTCGATCTGCTTCACAGACTGCTGATATCATCTGATCCATACATTACTAGCTTAGGAAAATCCCATATACCTAAAATGCTTGATTTGCCAGGCGAAGTCATAAAATTATTGTGTGATGTAAGTTCTCTGGAAGAAAAATGAAAAATCTAACCTAACGAAGTGAGTTTACGTATTTAATTTACATACTTAATGTCAAAACTGTTGAAACTGCGACAGTCAGCGGAGCAAAAGATGTAATTACATTAAAATATTATATTACATTACATTACTATAAAACATTGTGAATGCTTATCATTTACTCAGAAAACCAATTAAAATCGAGAAGGAGTTAGTAGTTGCAAAATTTAAAAAAGATAAAACATTAAAATTAAAATGATTAAAATAAAAATTCTCCATAATATAAGAATAAATATTTTAATCTCAAAATATAAATTAAAACATTAAAAATTGATAAGGAGTTGAAAATTGAGGGTAAAGTAACTTTATTATTTATAAAACGTTTATACAATTTGGAATATTGCGTATTTCGTATGTAATTTAATTGAAATTTTTTAAAATAAATAACCTTACTTATTGGAACTTCACATACTTAAAGAATACGTTATGAGAGATAAGCATTTCATTGAGATACGTGAAATAATTCCTAAGGTATTAATTTTTACGAGCTAGTTGCTCAAAATTACACACTGTGCCCCGGTGTTATTTTTACCCTTCCTTTCGGGTGTGCTATTCTTAAAATGGCATTGGAGGCAGGTTCGATGATGGGTGGCATGAATAAAAGTAAGCAATTACTCTTTGCTTCTAGTTTCGGAGATCCTTTTCAGTTTCGTATGAATAAAGTGGGTGAGCAATTGCTCAGTCACTGAGCACTTGCTCCATCTCTGAGCTCTCTCTCTCTCATCTCTGATTGAGTATTCTCAATTGGCGAGCAAATGCTCTGAATTGGTATGAATAAAGTTAAGCGTTTACTCTCTAGAGTGAGTACTTGCTCCAAAATTTCGGAGGGACCTTAGTAACAGACTCACATTTGAAAAGTATGGTTAAATTGGCGGATTTTGTTTATCGTGGATTGATATGAAAATGCAGCGGACTAAAAAAATACAAGATAAGGCGAAATTATCCTGATGTAGACTATTAAAATCGAAAAGGACAATGCATGGTTGGTACGATTTTTAACGGCGTTTGCTTTCAGGCCGTTTTCATAATGCATATCTTCTGTGTTAATTGGCCATCGCTCTTTTCTACTTTTTTCGAATTTTTCGGAGTACTGTTTTTTCAAAGTTGGTAATGTTTCGTTTCGGCCACAGCGTACCTCCGAAGGTTGTCTCTTATCAAAAATAATTTTATGTTCGCTTAACATTTCGGCAAAAACTAGCTGGGTCTCTGGCGCCAGTTTTTCGTTACTGCTACTCATATTCGAATTTAAAGAACGAGACAACAAAACATTGCTCTTTATTCCGCACAAATGTGCGCGACGCGTGTAGCGTATGTAATCTCTTTGTTGCTCAAGAAATCAATTTTTAAAACTCTTAGCCTGCACTATCACTTGTTCACGACGAGCAAATGCTCGCGAGACATGAAAAAGTTCTTCGAAGATATACGAAGTTTTTATTCATACTGTAACGTTTCTCGTGGTGAATTAAAACTCACTGGTATTATTTAAACAAAAACGTTTATTCGTGAACAATTATACACTAAAATCTACTGACACTAAAAACTTGGTCTATTTACAGATATATTACACTTAATTATTTTTCTTTACACACGACTCCGTTCTCTTGATTATTTATTTACACAGTTCACTTCTTCTACAGTATCACCCAGACCAATGCACTGTACACGGTCCACAACACTGACCCCAATTCCCTGCGCAGATCACACTTCACTGCGCACACCAGGGTCCACTGCACTGCTTTTTACCACTATGCACACTTCACAACTCAGCTCCCATTGCAGACTTCAACCGCTGACTGCTGTTTCCCCCAGCACCACTGATTACCGCGAAACACCCTTCACAGCTCAGCTTCCACTGCAGACCGCTGACTGCTGTTCACCCACTGCATCGCTGTTCACCGCAATCCACACTTCACAGCACAGCTTCCACTTCGGACACACTGACGGACTGACCTTATTACTGATTACACACACTGACTTACTCTGACACACTAACTTACACTGACTAACTTCTTACTGGCCGACTGCTACTGACTGACTTCTACTTCTTACTATTCACTGACGTCTTACTAATCACTACTCACTGACTTCTACTCTCTCGCGGCCGCCGGCAGCGGCGCATTTATACATGGCCGGTGCTTGTCTCGATACACCCGGCACATTCTCTGCGTTTCCCCGCGACTCGCGAATAGTCTGGAACCGTCCAGTTGGGGGGGAGGGAAGGGGCGCCGGCAGATGACGCAATCCACGCGCAGCGAATCCGGCCGGTGATGCAATATTCGTTACAATACGAAATGGAGCTTCTGCTTGGTGCCGCGGAGTAGAATCACTTTGCTCCGGAGCAAGTACTCCTGAGCAAGTGCTCATTTTTATTCATTTCACCTAATATCTCTTTGAGTTTGCAATAAAATCCAGCACTGAATGTGCTTAAGGTCTATAGCATTGCCGCTGATTGTGAATGGAGTGCAATTGTGAAGTCTGTTTTCGCTATAATTTACAGTTCATTCTGGTGGCAAATATCAATCGTAAAAAAAATTCCTCAAGACTCACTTCTCACTGATAATGGAAAGCGAAAAGGGAAACTCGTAGGGTGAATTAACTAAGCTGTTTAATTGGGGTACAAGTGAGATACAGTCAATTCTTGCCAATCGGAATAGTTCTTGAAAAATTGGTAAGAAAACCTCCAAAATATCTCCAAGAAGAGAAGTTGGCAGCCTGACAAAAACATAGTGTTCTTTTAGAATGGCTTAATCGCGCTCGTTCAAAGGGGAACCCTAGAAGTGGGCCAATGTTACAGTTCGAATAGCATCGGACCTTAGAAACAAAAACTTTAGCCAACGATTGGTTGGGCAGATTTCATATTCACCACATCTGAAGTGTTATCGGCGAATCATTTTCTGAAGTGTTAGCTGCGAAACTGGTGAAGTCAATGAAAATACGATCAGTGACAGGAAATAGCGAATTTATTATGTCAGCAAAGTTTACGCCCCATGTGACATCTGCGACATGGATGAAACCGGCTTTCTATTTAAAGCAATACCGGACAGAATGCAGTGAAAGGAGACAAATGCAGGGGTGGTATATTAGCATAGTAGAGAAAAACAATTGCATTAGAAGACAATATGTTATGGAAAGAAATAGGTTTCAGGTTGAACCATTATTATTACCTGATGCACTCTCCAGTGCCAAAAGGCATATTTTATTGGAAAATGAATTGAAAAACAAGTAAAAAAAATTTGTTAGGTGTGATTGAAAAATAATATGTCAATAGTACTGTCGTTGAACATGTTAAGTAATTCAACCAGACAACTGTGTAAGATTTTATGTTCAAGGCAAATCAAGAATAATATTAGGGTAAAATATGTACATTTGAGTTTTGTATGTTAATAAATTGCAAATTATTTATAGGTTTTATTTAATGAACTAATAAATAAGAGCATATATGTGTATGTAGTATTTACGCTCATAGTCAGAATGCAGACCTGGTAAGTGAGACCCCTTCATGACGAATACCCCTCAAGACGACCAGTTTTACGTGCAAATTTGGGTGGTGAGCATGAAGGGGTTTCACTGTACAAACACACACACACACACACATATAGGGCGTTATTAAAAACGTTTTTTCGCCCGCTTGGGTGCATAAATGGGAATTTTTGATGAGAAAACATGTTCTACGATACATAAGATTTTTATCATCTTAGAGGGCTCATCGATCGCTCAAACATGGCACGTTTTGGTACTTTTTTGACTTTTGGTCTTGTAGAGCACAATAGCTGTATCGGAAATGTATGGATTTGTTTAATGTTTTTCCAATATTCATACCAAACAACCTTTGCATAAATATATTTTGTGGATCACCTATTCATCGTCAAAAAGGCTATCATTGTTAAAAAATTACTAAAAAACTTTATAGTCTTGGATATATCGAACATTTGATTCAAAACAACGTGAAAATTACGAGAATTACATCAAAACCAGTAATATGACAAAATATGAACATGACATTTATAGAGACGGCGATATTGAAAAATTGATTGACATAAGAAACAAATATATAACTATAACAATGAGAGCAAAATATTCGAAAAAATAGTTGAACTTTTACAATTTTTGATGCTTCAGAAATGTTATTGGAAATCAAACCTATCTTGTTTGTCCAGTCTGATGATTAGCACGTTTAACTCTTAAACTTATGTACTTAATTTCAAATCTCATTCGACCCAATAGTATAGTGAGTGATGAGTAGTAATAAGACGATATCTAAAAGAAGGAACACGTTGTCGGTCAAAATATTTGCAATCGAGTTCAAATATGCGAAATTTCGCACGTGTACTGCTACTACTACACAGTCCAGACACCTAAAAGTGACCACCCGTTAAAAGCCTGATTTACCCATTTTGCAGCGCTGGCTGCTGCAAGACATGCAAGACGTGAGTCAATTACGTTCTGGACGGTACCGACAGGTATGTGAAACCGTACTGACTTCCGTGTCGTGGCCAGCTGCGTTAGGTTCCTCGATTGAAGATCCATAGGGCGAAACCCCCAATTGAGATGGTCCCACAGATTCTCAATTCGAGTTAAATTAGGGGAGTTTGTTGGTCAAGGGAGTACTGTAAAGTCATCCCGGTGCTCTTTAAACCACGCACGTACACTGCGAGCGGTATGACACGTTGCATTGATCTGCTGGTCTTGTTGAGGAAATACGATCTGCATATAGGGATGGACATGGTCCCCAAGGATAGGTGCATACTTCTGTTGATCAATTGTACCGTCCACAATGCCGTTACCCAGGGTATGCTACGAAAACATTCCCCACACCATTACTTTCCCTCCTCCGGCCTGGACCCGTCCGGCGATTGATGCATTGTAAGTTCAGACATTTCACATGGTATTCACGAACAACCATCTGTCCGATGGAGCAGAAAACGTGATTCTCCACTATTATCTATGGCCCGTGATGTGACATATTTACTCCGGTAACTGTTTTGGATATCGCCATTTTGACTGCGGTACGCGAACACTTGTGGTCGGTTTGAATAAATTTAGCTATATCGTAAATGTTTCCGCTCTTGGGCCGAAATCCAATGATCATGGCGTTATGGACGTGCGATGAATATCTCCATTTCTGAATTTGACAACTACTGCACTGTTTTCCGCATGTCGAGTGGTACCGCGACACACTTTATGTACCCTGCACTGTTAGTGTTGCCACCTGTCGTCTGTGAGGGGTTATTGCACGTTTACGCCGAACATAGGCGATGGTGGTCACATTAATGTGAGTGAACTATGTATAATATTACGTAAGCATAAAAAATACCACTAATTTCATGACCATAAATTTAATGATTCAAAATCTTAAAATGAGCGACAATGGAATTAAAGCACTATTAAAATAACGCATCCGTATAGGAAGAAACAATTCCATAAGATACTGGTTTCAATGATCTGATAGCTTTCACAAATCCTTGCATACACTTTTTTGTATTTGTGGCTCTAGCATACAAGCAAGTGGAGAACAGAAGACAAGGAACGAAAAACCATCTATGTTTCAGAGTATATCGGTTTGAAGTTCACGAGAAAAAATAAATAGAATTTTTTTTTATAAACAACGCAAATAAAGAAAAATAATTCACCTACTCTTAAGGAGGGTCAGGAAATAGTTTAAACGGAACCTCTTTTTGCCTATTTTCTTTCAAATTTTCCCAATTTGTGTGCTTTATGAAACCTGCCCTCCACAATAAGAGAAAATAAAATAGAAACATCATTTTTTTAAATCAAGTCCTTCTTTCCTAATTAAAAGGACATCAAACATAATTTTGCCATAGTCCTGTAATCATGTCAACACACAACTATATGTTTTTTAAATTGTGGAATAAAAGTCTAATCACATTATTACATCACTTACGCTGTTTCAACAGCTTTTCTTCTTCTTCTTTTTTTTCATCTTCATCACAGGGAACAATGACAGTTTTCATGTGCCATTTTACAGGTTGTAATAAAAGAGCTGCAGGAACTGAATGCATTGAAAGTGCTCCTAAAATCATTGTTGTTCCTGTCGTACCATAGTAGTATAACAGGAAAGTTATAACTTGCGGCATTACAACAGGTCCCAGGCCCGTCAGCGTTGTAGACATTCCAGATGCATATCCTCGACGTTCGCGGAAATACGTGTTGGTTGCCAGGGAAAATGCTGACATGAGCAGAAAAGTCCCCATAGCTGAAACAAAAAATGTGTTAATGCACAAATCGAAAAATTGTTGTTTCAATTGCAATAATAATATACAAGATTTGGTATTTACACGTGATGAGACTGTAGGTTATAAGAAAATCGATAAATTTTGAGGCCCAGCTGGTTGCAGTTATACCAATAAAAGACGAGAAGGCGCCAACTAACGCCACTTTTCTGTAACCATACCTCTTCAATAAGGGGCCAGTTATCAATCCTGAAAAAAATAGATGATAGCTAGAGGCATTTTCTATTATTCTTCAAATACGTACTATCTAATTTTACATTGTCTCTTGAACATCTTCCAGCTCGAGTAAATGCTTACATAAAAGTCAAAATTAACACTTCAATTTCAGATGAAACTGACACAAAATACATAATGGGCAAAAGTCACTGAAAGAATTGGTGACAGTTTGTGTTTTAATATCCATTGTAACGTTTCTCAGTGGTGAATTCAAAACACTGAGGTAATATATAACAAAAACGTGTATTTGTAAACAATGCTACACTAAAATACTTCATTTATTTACAGATATACACAGTTCTTGTGTTCTTCACTTGATTATTTTCTTTACACGCGACTCCGTTCGCTTGATTATTTATTTACACAGTTCACTTCTTCTGATTATTTATTTACACTCTTCACTTCTTCTATACTATCGCACAGTCCGATGCACTGTCCACGGTCCACTGCGCAGACCACAATTCACTGCGCAGACCACAATTCACTGCGCAGATCACGATTCACTGTGCAGACCAGGGCCACTGCACTGCTGTTTACCGCGATGCACTCTTCATAGTTCAACTTCTACTGCAGACTTCAAACTGCTGGCTGCTGTTCCCCTACTGCACCACTGTTTACCGCGATGCACACTTCACAGCTCAGCTTCCACTTCAGACAGACTATTGCATGCTCACACTGACGGACTGACTTCTTACTACAACTACTTCTGCTTCTTCTACTACTGCTGCCTACTACTACCAGCGGCTGCCGGCAGCGGCAAATTCATTCCAGGACGGTGCCCGCCTCGAGCCATCGGGAACGTGCGCAACATTTCTACGCGACTCGCGAATAGCCCGGAACCATTCAGTTCGGGGGGACGGGGGGCCGCCGGCAGATGAAGCAATAAGCGCAGCGAATCCCCGCAGGTGATGCAATATTCGTTACAATATAATTATCTAATAATAGTTTATTTCCATCGACAAATTATATAATCATTAATAAGTTGCATTAACGTACTCACCCAAACTCATTCCAAATGCAGCGTTTACGTTGATAATTGTGGTCAAGTCAGTTGTTGACATATTTAGTTGTTCTATTCTATTTTTAAACAGTAATGCAAATGACTGCATTACAGGAATGTTGATAAACTGGAAAATGCAAACATGTTTATTTCAATTGAGTAATTTTTCATTAAAACTTGTTGTCGAGTTATTTTCTTCAACTGAAAAAGTAAGGGGTTACAATTTTTTAAACAAAACGTAATTCCAGACAAAAATTCGTACTGGCAATCCTAATAGTCCTGTTCAGTGACCCCAAAAATATATAGGAAACAAATATCAAAACTACACTAAAACTTTCGTTTATTTTATACCTTTTGACTGTACTAGTGAGGTAGAACATAGTTGTAGGACACCTGTATATTGAGCATAGACGAAGCATAGGAGTTTTGCGATTCAAAACATTGCCTTGTGATACTCCTGCTAAGATATAGAAAATTTTGAGTTACATTTCTAAATTCTAAATTTTTTTGGAAAAGTTCTCTGAAATATATGCTATTAGTGTGCGGGAGAATGGATAAGGGATGACACTTTATTTTATATAGTAAACCTGTTACTGTAAAACTTTTATACAGTAAACTGACACGCTTTAACAAAAGAATGCTTGACATCAATAAATACGACGGATTAATATTTCTTCTTTGTTAAATATTCATTTATTATTTGTTCAATATTGTACACTTCAGTTGTCTAATTCTTCTTCAAAAAGCCAAATTGATGTGCCGGTGTTAAATATCGTACGTTAATTGATGTCCCGACTCCCTCTGTATTCTACATAATCTCTTGTCAAATAATATTTTCAAGACTTTCAATTGCACTTGTGGAGGACTTATCGGTCTGAATAAGTTTCCAACAGGAGTGTTTTTAGGCTTAGAGATACCTATGATTGGGGCTATATTTAACTAAAAGGATAAAAATGCAAGTTTGCAAGTGATAACCGAACAAGGGTTTAAGAAATCCTTCTCCGTTTCTTGAAAGATTTTGAAAACATTTCCCCTTTATTTTACCGTAATATGCTGCTTTCTTTGGGTTAAGATCTTTTATCATTTACTTTACAGCTGAGACTTTAATTGTCTGTATTGGGTATTTATGAAGGGTTTGGAAAAAGTCAACAATATTTGGTATTCTTTATGCAAATTTGAACAAAAACGGTTGAATAAAATTTCTCAAGTGTTCTGCAAATGTATCAGACTTTTCTTTATTGACAATCTCGAATTTCAAAATTTGGTGACGTATATGAAGATCCATCAATAGAAAATTCAATCAATCTATTGATAGATTTTCATATAGGAGTTAGTTTCATGTGCTGCATTGGCTGTTCCAGTCGCTTCGTTGCTTTCCAGCGATCGATCGATCGATCGAGGGACAGAGGTCAGTGGAAGTATCACGTAACATTCTTTGAGCTTTGCTGTTTCTCTATTTAGGATAAGCTTGGATAGTTAGGATGGTGCATGATCAGTCACACTTCTTCAATTTTCGTTTTTCATTTATTTTCATTTCTCTGAGAATTGGAAATGTTTCTTATTTGGATGTTATCTTTCTTTATGGTGTAGTGAATTACGCTGTATCCTGAATATTCCGTTTAGATGCCATAGCTTTATTTGTACCATATTTAGTTTTAAATGTTAAGTAACTAGGAATATTCATCTCAAGCTTATCACGGAATATATTCCAGTAGGCATTACATTGATAATTACATGGAGAAAGATTCGTCTTCTGCAAGTTCTTAGATCATTGTATGTTTTGTCTATAATTTGAGGATATGGCAACACACAACTCAACTTCGATGTAATTTCTGTCTATTCCTTTGCTGATGAAACATTCAATGTGTATTTTTCGCGGAATCCGTATGCCAATATGGTTGTCCAGTGGAGATTGCTTTCTGTAGAATATTGTCTATTGATTCAGGAAGTTCTCTTCTTTTCAGAGACGTTAAACATGATCCCCATTACATATGTGTAGCTTTGAAATCTTGCTCTGAAATGCATCTTCAAAATCTTGTTTTCTTGTATAATATTGTTGGTTTTGGAATATATATTTCTAATTTCTTGGTTTGTGAACTGATATACCCCTGGAATACTAATTTGTTTTAAAATTTCATAAAGCAATCTTGTTGATAAATTTTACAGCCTCGGTAATTTTGCAATTGTCATAGTTAACTCATTTCGGATCTGCTTTTCCTGTTACGTTTAACAGAACATGTCACAATACAAGAGAAATATCTCAATCACAATACAAGAGGAAGTTGATTAAATAGTTGAAATTGTTTACACTCAACTTCATGTTTCTCGTATAGAGGCTCGAAATCACTTTTAAATTTAACAATTCACTTAAATGTCTTTGTTATTTGGGTTCGGTTGTAGATCCACGAAACAGCAAATGGAACATTGGTTATACTGCTTTTAATGTTAAAAACTTGACGCACTCTTTTCGTGGCTTACCGTTGCTTCTTTTATTTCCTTACGTAGATATTAGTTTAATGCTACTAACTACTAATGTCTATTAATACCCGCTCCAGCGGTATAAGTATATTTAAAGAAGTGTTTAATATTCAGTTTATCGAATAAGGATAGACAAAGATGTATTGAAGATACAGAATACTGGAAAAAAAAGTTTGAATTTCCAAGAAAATCGAGGAAATCAAATCAATACACAATAATAAAGTCATCACCAGAAAGTGGAAAAATTACGATTACTTACATTCGATATTCCAGTGGCAGCTACTATGACCCAACCCCAACCACCATCGGGGTACACTTTCTCGACACGTGGCTTACATTCACTGTTATATTCTTTTGTTTTCTCTTTGTCTTCCATTTCTCCTGCAGAAAAGAAAGCATACAAAATCATTGTTTCACAACATTTAATGTGTTGGTGTCAGTGGTATTTCTCCTGAGATTTATATCTTCAAGTTATCTTTAAAACATATTTATAGCATTCAGTTGATTCTATTTCTCCCTGTTGCGAGGAAACTACTGAAGCCATCTCGAAGATAAAAGTACAATTTGAAAGCCCTTCTGAAGGTAAGACTCAATAAACTTTTCTTTACTAAAAATACGTATGCGCGCTGAAAAGTGATGCCTCCGAATTTTTTACGTGACATTTATTAAATATTTTTAAATCAAACATTATTAACATGCTACATCTTTATTTCTCATGTCTGTATATTTGTTTCTCAACATAGTGTAACGTCGTCGTCGTCTACGCCACAAGCAAAACAGACTCGAATGGGTCAAGTTTATTTACATAGATTACATACATACAAAACCTCACTCTTAAGACGGTTTGTTAGAGCTACCACTGCAGCCCTCCTCTCCGTGCATGCGCCTTGCGGCGGCGCCTGCGACAGGCCTGCTAAACCGCCTCACAATTTGGCATCTGATGTGCCCGGGCAGATCGACAATCTGCCTTACAGAGTTCGAGGAACACTTCGCCTGATCCGAACACATCGAACCACCATGCGCCATCGGCACTCCGCACCAGCCTGGGCGGACAAAGTTTTGTGGACTCGTCACGAGGAAACCAGAGTCACCCGCGCCATCGCGACGTGACGTCCCTAAATATAGGGACAAGTCACATGATCTTCTACGTCATTTCTGCCCCCCCACACACACACACACGCGTTACATAGAGACATGTCTCTGGCGTTGTCTTTGCACGCGGCCCCGTCTCTTCTGTAAATTCCTGCCTTTTGTTTGGGCTGTTTTTAGAACCTTCAACCCTCTACTTTGCGCTTCAGCGTTGAGCTGCTGCAAGCCGTGACGCTACAATAGTCTCCCTGGCTCCCATTTCTCCCAACGAGAGAACAGTTTGTTAACACGGAAACTGAAGAATATTTGACTATGTTGACGGTGTCACTACCTCGTCTCTGCTGGCACCGTTTCGTCACTATTAAAATGAAGGTCTCGAAGGTGTTCTTTACGTTTTGGAAACAGATAAATATCGTTTGGAGCCAAGTCGGAGCTGCATAGCGGATGATCGATGACAGTGAACCCATAATTGGTTGTTGCAGATGTCGCAGCTCTCATGTGTGTCAACTCCGACCTCTGTTTCGCCCTATCGCAATCGTTGAGGTTAACCCCATCTATTCCATCATTGCGAGCGCGAACAACCCAATGTTGCACATTACTGATGTGAGGACAGTCATTACCGTACAAAGCTTACATGCCTCTGCGGATTTGGAGGCTCCTTTTTGCAGTTAAAAAGTCGATTACAGCTCGCAGTTTCATGTTAAACCCTGTAATTCTGAACCATCTAGAGGCAAAGAGTTGCAGTTTGCGTCAGCGAAGCGAGAACTTCGACGGAGTAATATGCAAGACATTTAATACCTTAGCCAACAGTAAGAATAGAATAAAATTATTGGAGGCATTACGTTTCACCATACCCTTGTATGTCTTTCTAAAATTCACAATTAAGGAAGTAGGAGATAGCTTTTTAAGTTTGTGTCGTTCTTTGACGCAGTGCGTCTTCAACTGTTATACGACAGTTGATATGTTGTTGATTGATAAGTTGAATTACCATATTGGTGACTTAAAAAATTTTATTATTTTTTTAATTTATTTAAGTATTTTTTTAATATTATTCCAATGGCAAGTTAGAAGATAAGGTGTCCATTCCATTTCTTTGACAACACTTGCATGTTTAGTGACACAATATGAAATTTACGTTGAAAGTAGTTTGTGAATTTGAAAATGATATTTTTCGTAGCATTCTGCCTACAAAACACTGTCTCTGATTTCTTTTACATTCTCTGTAACTTACAAATTACAAGTGGATTGAGTAATTAAGTGTATAGGTTTTATGTTTTCATTACACTGTTTTTGATTAAATAATTAGTTCCTGAACTCCAATTAACAAAAAATGTGATGCTTTGTTCCATCGTGGTTCGTTCATTATGTTACTAAACGATACCGTTATTTTTGGTTATTCTATATTCTACTTTATTTTATATTTTTTATTCTGTATTTCATTTCTACTCTATTATATTTTCTAAGTATTTTTTTTTCACTTCTCAGTAACACAAATTGAAAATTTGTTATGAAGTGGAATTCAAAATTAAACTATTGCGTGTAGTTGATTTGCAGTGAATTTGGATATGATATAACTGTTGGTTTCAGATATAATTGAAAACCGGATTTTAAGTCGACACTTCCCCTTTTTGGATCGAATGAGTTACATTAATTTTACGATACAATTCAGTAGCCAGTTATACATTTCCAATCTCAGTTTTAGTTTTTCTTTTATTGTATTTGTTTTCGACAGGTAAAATGGCTGAAAGTATGTTGTAAGAGATGTAAAAAGACGTATGTTGGTTTTGATAATCTTGCCCGGACTTTCCTCCACGACGATCACCTCGTATTGATTTGAATAACGCACAAAGACGAGATTTCTCTCTGCGTTTTTCCAAAGGCTCCCAAGATATAAATTCATAACTAGAACGTCGTCTCCTAACACATTTTGCGGCATATTTTTGTATTTTTCGAGATATTTTATATGACCTAACGATATGGGTCCCAGCATATGGAGCCACATTCCAATATCGTACCCTAATTACCTTGATTTTCCACTTCCTTTCCTAAGCCCCCTAATCACAAAGTGAAATGTCTTCCTTAAGTGTATCCTTAACTTCCCTATATATTACACAGTCATCTGCAAAAAGTCGTATTTTTGTTCATTTCCCTGCCAAATATTATTAATATATGTTATAAATAACAACGGACCTAGGGCACGACCCTGTGGCTCTCTGAACGTGATTTCTGCCCTCGAAGAAAAATTTGACACATTTATGCAAGTTCAATAACTGTCTTTTAATCAGAGAATTACGTAAGCTGAAATTTTATGACAAGAAACAGCACATTTGTTTTTTCTTTTAGCGTCGCCTATGAGAATAGAATTAGAAAATCTTCATGTCGCCACTGATTTCACGACGGACAGTCAAAAGTGCCCCTTACGACAGTCAACCAAGAAACTTCTTACGACAACCCAACGACAAGTGCCTCTCACGACAGTCAAGCGAGAAATGCTTCAGATGAAGCCGGTAGAGAATCTCCACCTATGCTCTCCGCACTCTTTTGTTCCAGAAAGTTCGAGATCGCTCTGAAATATAATGAACACGCCTGGCGTTTGTCTTAAGCTAACTGTGCCGCACATGAACCTCGGCCCTTCACAGAAGACGCGTTAGGGGTTCCGTTTGGAAAATTATATTATCTTCATCCTTGTTCCTCACACTGTTTATGAAGTGCTCGTGGCTCCTCTGTGTACGTTATTGTCGGTGATGGGGTCTCGGCGGGCGCTGCGTGTCTTTACCGTAGACGCTCGCAAAGAAAGAAAGGGGCGGGCGAGTGCGGGAGGGGTCCCCGCCTGTTTGGCGCTGTCGAAATCAACAAAAGTCGACTCCGTCGTTTTTACGTTGAGTTTGGCCGCATTTTGCAAGAATTAAGAACCCAATATTAATAAACTTTAATTACCTAAATTCAGTGACGCCACAATATTTATCACATCAATTGTCTTTGAGAAGAAACTGTTAGCGAGGGCAATGATAATACACAATCTCCAGTAAATCGTGTACACTGTTTCAACTGCGCATTGACATCGCAATGTTTCTATTTTATAAAAAAGCTGTACAACCAGAACTATATAAAGCTAAATAAGCTATATAAAGCCAGAACTACTTAATGATAATACAACATTAATTGCAACCGTAGGTCAAATATAATCTCCTGCAAAATGTAAAAGAAGTAAAACATTTTTTGTAAGTATTTAAATTTGTCTTTTAGTTTTGGATGTGAATATCTTACATTGTTATAAAATGCCTAAACATTGAGTGCCTTCCCGCGCGCCGATGCGGCTGTATATGGCGATATGCTTGTCTGAGAGGACTCATCGGGGTGCTCGCATGCCACCTCGGATAGGTGGTGATAGATAGACGGTGCTAATAAAGAAGGACCACGAAATACTCGCCTTACTTCCAGGGCTATTTTTTGGGCGATGAGGTACCCATTGTGTCACTGTACAACAAATATCGTTTATTTTATTCCTGAATTTTGGTTATTATTACTTCATTTTCAAGACGTCATCATCAAGGTTCCAATAGTGTCGAACGTATTGTAATGTTTCTCCGTGGTGAATTAAAACACACAATATTTAACAAAAACGTTTATTTTGTTAACAATGCTACACTAAAATACTTGATTTATTTACAGATATATTACGCAGTCTTTGTGTTCTTCACTAGATTTTTTCTTACACACGACTCCGTTCTCTTGATAATTTATTTACACTGTTCACTGCAATCTGATTATTTATTTACAATGATCACTTCTACACTATCGCACAGTCCAATGCGCTGACCACACTTCACAGCGCAGACCACACTTCACTGCGCAGACCAGGGTCCACTGCACTGCTGTTTACAGCGATGCACACTTCACAGCTCAGCTTCCAGACAGACTTTGCAGACAGACTACTGCATACTGACTCTGACGGACTGACAGTTTACTACTTCTACTTCTTACTTGACTACATACACTGATTGACTTGACTGCTACTCACTTACTGGCTCGCGGCCGCCGGCGTATTTATACCTGGCCGGCGCTCGTCTCGAGCCGTCGGGAACGTGCGCAACATTTCTACGCGACTCGCGAATAGCCCGGAACCGTCCAGTTCGGGGGGCGCCGGCTGATGACGCAAATCGCGCGCAGCGAATTTCGACGGGGGATGCAATATTCGTCACCGGATCAATATTTTACTTCGTTCCGTAACCTCTTGTACATGGCTGTGAATTTGAGATTTTTTATTACGATTCCATTCGCACAGATTTCGATTTTTTCATGACATATACTTGTATCATTTATAAAATTGTTAGCCGTCATTAACGAAGAGGTTGTCACGCTTGCACTGTGCTCTCTTGCGTTCTACAGCAGAAATTTTCACCAGCTAGTGGACATAATAGCACCTACGCGGGCATTGAACTGGTATTCGCTGCTTGCGAGCGTCGTAGTGGTGCGGTAGGTGTCGTCTATTCCGAAAACGAAAAGCGATTAGGTGCCGGGTATAAGTGTTTCACGTGAGAAGACCCAAAATATCGAACATGGCGGAGTTTCGACACCGCCAACCTCATCCAAATGAAAAGGGAAAGTGGCGACGCGGCTTGATTAAATGTACGTAGTGTTCTTCAAAACTGCATATTTGCTAAAATGATTTATTAATGTTGTTTCACGACTTATAAATCTCCACAGGCGTATGATAAAATAATTTAACTTATAATTTACATTCTTAATTTTTAATTTGTATTATTAATTAATTATAAAATTAAATATAATACATTTAATTAAATAAATTAATTATAAATTTAAAAACATTTGAATTTTCAGAATTAATAAAATAGAATTGAAATTGATGAATGAATGAAAAAAGGATAATGTTATTTTATTATAAAACTATAAAAATTCTACAGAAGATTTATAGAATAAAGATTAAATGAAATTCAAGACAAAATAATTTTCATTTTCAAACAATACACAATGTAGTAAAATAAAAATACTTTACTGAGTTAGAAATATTTATATTAAAATGATTTTGTAAATATAACATCATCACATCAAAGGATTGAACAAATTCATTGTATGGAAATGAAAAATGTTTGAATTTTAGTGAAAATTGAATAAGTTAGATGTGTTTGATTGTTTGTTAGTTGTAACAGTCTAATAAAATTTATTATTGCTATGAAAACGATCCCATTAAATTTAAAGACAGTTCAGTTTTAAAATTTTTTCAACACGTTGTACAATTTGAGCAAATGAAAATATAAAGGAAATTAAAAACATAACTATCTTTAAATTTCATGGAATCATTTTCATAATAATAAAATATCAGGACTTTGGAAATTCATTAGGAATAAAATAAATGTAAATTAATCAACCCCCTTTTAAGTATTTCTGATATGTGGATGACCTTTTTTGTATCTCTACCGAAGATAATTTACCGGATCTGTTAGACATCTTCAATAGTTATAGTTACCATATCAATTTTATGCATGAAATTGAGATGAACGAGAGTTTAAACTGTTTGGATCTATCCATCACAAGAAGTGACCAAAAGCCATTATTTAACTGGTATTGGAAAGCTACTAGCACTTGTAGAGTACTTAACTTTTATTCTTCCCACCCAAAATCTCAAAAAATTGCTGTAATTTATAACTGGAGGATAATTCAATTCTTAAACATCTTACCAAAAGTGAGAAATTATCTACATCGTAAGATATAAATTATTTAGAAATTTCAAACCTCTACATATACATAATACAAATACATTCTTAAAAGGATTAATATTTTAAAATTGAAATTCGATCTCACATCACATACTGTACATGATCCCACTGAAAGGAAACCCTACGTAAGACCCTACCCTAAACAGCAAGATCATTTGATTGAATAAATTTGGAGTACGGGTGTTTTTTTAAAATTTTTAATAAACCAAGTTTATTCATTACAAAAGATAAAAAATCCAACAGCCGTGAATCTAAGACACAATGTTATTTATAAAATTAACTGCAAAGAAACGAGATCCACGTATGTTGATACCAACAAACGCGCACTAAAACAATGAATAAAAGAGCCCAAATACAATATCAAATTAACATTTGTAAATCTAACGTGGATAAACCTAACCAAGTACAGTATTACCACTTTTTATACATGAAGTATACTATGGAACGAATCATGGCTAAATACAAAATCCAGCAAACTTCGTAAAAATATAACAAACATCTTTGAGCTAGAAACAATTCCCTCAAATCATTCTCAATTCTTTCAAAAATTTTAATTGAAAAAGTTCCACAACCTACTTGAACCATCTGCAATAATATTCTGTCAATAAAGCTCATCCTTCTGGAATGCCCCGTCTCCAATGAAGGCAAAAAAGTGATCTAGGAAATGAACATTTCAATGAAATTTTATCATTGCCAAGTTATTAAGATAAAGTGATAACAACTTAGTTCACGAGCGCGCCACAGAAGGCGGGAGCGTCGTCGCGCTCACTAGGAGACACTGCAGTAAAATTTGTCCCATGATCCGCCATGAATATGTTCAATGTCTCCTAAAGTGCATTATATCTAATGGTATTTCTCCTGCGCTTCGTCAGTGCCAGCCATTGTTTGGGAGAAATGCGTTGTGTTGAGGCAAGTGTTATCATTATCGCTTAAGAGTTTCCCATTTTTATGAAAATATTTTGTCTAATTAAAAACAATTCATAATGTTCTCAAGTGGATGGTGATACGTGTTCTATCAGCTTGAACCGTTGAATTCTTCTGTAACGTTCTATTGCATTTATTTATTAAATTTACGTAGTTATCCAATGTAAAACAGTAACAATAATACACATATGTGATGAATTTTCGCTCCTGTGTAATAAGAACTATTTACATAGACAAATGAGCTACAATTTTATTTGATTGTATTTCTGACCAAATAATTAACAAAACATTCCACTCCTCCCTCTTCTAGCAACAACCTAGTTCAAGATAACACATAGAAAAGCCACATGCCACATTAATTTACTGTCCAGAAGCAAACAAGGGATCATCTCAGCGTTTTTCTCAATGGATCATGGGAAACAGGACGAAAAAATGATCGAGAGGGTATCATTGACCGAATACGTGTTACAGACATGTCATACACTAGAGTCATGTACTATAGTTATACAATACAAATGACAATAAATGCATTAATATATTAATAACTGAAATGAATATTACTTTCGATTCTCATTCGCAATACAGTGTCTAATTATATAGAAATAAGTAGTAGAAAGTATTACTTAGCACACACAATTTTAAAAACTACTAGTGCAACAGTGCTTTTAAAAACACTTCATTTAATCTTTTCGCTGATGATTGCAAAATTTGGCGAAAAATATCTGATGTTAATTATGCTAGTTTACTTCAAGACGACTTAAATCGAATGATATCATGGTGTAACGAAAACAAACTTGAACTAAATATAAACAAATGTAAACTACTTCGTTGTAATCGTGGCCATACTGAAGTAACAGTAGATTATAGTATTCAAAATACAATAATTGAATCTGTTCCACACATTCAAGATCTGGGAGTAATCATGGATACCAAAATGTCTTTTAATAAACACATCGATTACATCGTCAACGCTTCACTGAAAAAAACTTGGATTTATTAAAAGACAAACTGGTAAATTTAAATCCATGAAAACGATTAAAACTTTTTCTAATTCCCTTGTCGAATCAAAATTGATGTATTGTTCTTCAGTCTGGTCACTAAATGCTGATTATCTTAGCAAAAAGATCGAACGAGTTCAACATTTATTCTTCTCTTATGTAGCTTTCAAATTTAAAAAACCTAATCCGAGGTATAATCATGACTACAGTGAAATATCTACCTATTTGCAAATACCAACTTTGTCATCCTCGAGAATAGTACACGACGTGTTATTTATGAATAAATTATTGACTGGAAAAATTAAAAGTACATCACTTCGAAATATGTATCAATTGTATGACTATCCATACACAATGCGAAGATCTACTCTACTGAGAGAATTTGACTGTAGAACCGACAATAATTCTGCTATACCACGTTTAGCCAGAACCACCAATACATATATTAATGAAATTGATTTGACTCGAAATACAACGTCAATAGCTAAAATGATCAAACAACTCAGATTTCACTGGATAGATATGCAACAATTGACAATACTTATTCTATGACAAACGAATATTTTGTAATCTTCAAGAGCGTATAAACCTATGTATATATGAAATGTATTTAGGCATTATATGCCTGTTGGATAATAATAATAATAATAATAATAATAATAATAATAATAATAATAATAATAATAATAATAAAAACACTGTTACAGACTATCTCGTACTAATTAATTTCCGTTACTTTGAGTCGGGTCTCCCTTTTTATTTTCACCTCCCACCCTTTCCGGGTGTCACTGTTGGAATCCAAGAGACATT